AACAGGTCATTCCTTTCACATCTGTCAACACGCGTTATGAGAATGCCGTCGCCACTCGCGAACAGGTGGTGACGAGGACCAACGTGGTTACCCAGACTCGCGTCCAAACCCAGGTGGTGCCCCAGGAGGTGGTCAGCACCCAGGTGGTTCCCACCACCATCTACACCACCCGCTACGAGACCCGGGTTCAGCCTTTCACACAGGTGCAGACCGTGGTCAGGACCCAATACGTCACACCGGCCCCCGTTGTACAAACCCGCCAGGAAGTGCGGACCTCTGTGGTCCAGGTGCCCGGTCAGGACCGCGTGGTCACCAGTCAGGTCGTGCAGACCCAGCAACAGCAGCAGGTCGTCTATCAGACGGTTAACCGCCCTCAGCAAGTTACCGTCACCCAGACTATCACAGCCACATGCGGACAGACTGGTTACAATTACCCTGAGCCGGCTCGCCCCTTTGATGTTAGAGGATAAATATTCTGTGCGCTTGCTTGTTGCAGAAGCATAGAATACGTATATATTTTTAGTGCCACCTGAAATATAAAATTGTTTGCGATCTACAAAAATAAGACCATTTAGATATCCAAAGAAGGGTATATAACTGCGTTCACATATAGACACAGTTTTGTATTTATGTAAATGAAAAATAAACTAACAATATTATGGTGCCTTTTATAACAGTCCTACCCCCATGAAACAGCATCTTCAGGAACACGTAAGTACAATATTTTGTCCCCGACCATTATGCCGCTATTCTTATATCTACACGTATCTACATTGGATATGTGATGCCCATATATTTCTGATTCCCACAGGATGAAAGCACTGCTGTTGTCCCTCTTGGTGGGGTGTGCGTTGGGAGCCTCAGTCGAGCGACCGAGGCGTCAGGTCTTCGGTAATGCCATTGACCTGCAGTCTTCCCAGGGTTATCTGCCGCCACGACCTGGCCCCGACTGCCAGCCATCCACCGTCTACCGAACGCAGACGCAGTACTCCACCCAGGTCGTCCCCTCCACCGTCTACAATAACGACGTGCAGTACCTCACCCAGACCTCCGTCCGCACTCAGCAGGTCTACACCACTATCTACTCCGAAGTCGTCCGCACGCAGCAAGTCCCGTCGGTGCAGTACCAGACAGTCACCGTCACTCGCACACAGGACAACGTGCGCACACAGGTCATCACTCTCCCACCTCAGGTCAGCTATGTGACCCGCACACAGCAGAGTGTCAGGACTGAAGTTCAGTACCAG